AGAGAGATAGAAATTCCTCGTACTAGGTAGCTCGGAGAATCAATCAGACTCCGAGGCTGCTGCTGCTGCTCCTGCTCGGACGAGGCTCGTGCTTTACAAGAATTTTCTTTGTTTCTCGAATCGGCCGCTGCTGCTGCTGCTGTCTTCGCCCGGTGCACACATACATACGTATAATGTATACATGGCGCATAAAACCTTGTGGTTCTCGTTCGGAGAGTAAAACCCTTCGGTGTAAGTAATATCGCGAACGACGGACAGTTTGAGGGATATATACGGCCCTCGTTAAAACGCAGCGGCAGCAGCAGCACAACGGTATAACACGTATATAGAAAGATCGTTTTAGTGAAAAATCGGGGCGCACTCGCGCGCGCGATGCTGCCCCCTTTTATTATATAAAAAGAGCTCCTCGATGCGATCAGCAGCAGCAGCAGAGTACAGAGTACAAAGTGTAAATTGCTTCTCGCGCTGCAAAAGTTATCGAGGCCCGGGCGTAATTATACGACACTCGTACACACACGCAGGAGCCCCGATCTCTTCGCGTTTATACTTCGATACGTAATTTTAAGGCACCAAGAGTGTGTCTGCGTCGATCGCCGGGGTAATGAGCGTTAATATACGTATATGTACAGGTACACGAAAGTTCTTGTGTATTGCGCGCGGCGAAATAAATTCGACGTTTCGCACATTAGAAATACGTTTATGCGTAATATTAGCATAAAAAAGCAATGCTCGTGTCTCTATACGCGCGCGAGGCTATAAAATAATTTCTCTCTCTCTGTACAGCTAGTAGTAGCACCGCGTATAGAAGACGCGAACCTCGAAAATTTCGACGCCGTCTGTATACCTGAGCAACTATACTACGGTATATAACTATCTTATATACGTATGTATGCGAAACGGATGTGTCGCGCTCGTAAGAAAAAAGGAGAGAGAGAGAGTTGCTCAATCGTCGTTGAATTTTTTTTTTTAAATAGCCAATAAACATACAAATAGGCCGGATGTAGGTTGAGTAAACATTGCTATTCAATAATTTCGCTGCTATACGTATACTTATATCATTGTATCAAAAATTAATCAACGAGATGATAAATCACCGGCGAGGAAAAACGCGAGGCAGAAAAATCAATGCAGCGCACAAACTAGAAGACACGGCGTAATGAACGCGCGCCTATATCTGTGACCTATGAACGCGTACATACGTATGTGTGTGTAGAGGATATGCAAACGTATTTTACACACGCTCAGCCGCGCGGACGATCTCCTGCAGGCGACAAGTTTCTTAATGGCCTCTTGCTCTCTGCAGCGCCGCGAGATCGTCTCGTTATCGTGCATAGCATACACGTATTATACCATCGGGGGTCATGCGAATGTTGTTGCACCGACGATATAGTACCTTTGCTCGCAGTATTTATATAGCACCAACGAGACTTTGTTCTCGTTCTCTTCTAATACGTATTAAGCGGCGAGTGCCGATTATCGCGTGGTCTGTATGAGCCGCGGCGACTGTCATTACGCACGAGAAAGCAAATTAGAGTCGAGAGGATTGATTTATATTTTTGTTTTCCTTTCTTTTTCACGCGACGACGACCAACTGTATATTTAATAAAAATGCGTGGCTTATATATATTTTATATCCATACGACTTCCTTTCCGTATGTGATATATACGACTAGCTGTGAAAGTCACACTATTAATTGACCGATAATGTGACTACGTCTTACAGACATAGTATAAAAATATGATTATTCATAGAGGCGATTCCTTTCAATAAAAAAAATAAATAAAAAAAAGGTCGCGCAGAAATGAAAAAGTCATTCGCCCACTTATTTTGCGCGTTCGCTAGCTTACACACAGCTATATAATAGTTCGCACGTTGGTGTGTGTATGTTTTTGTACCTGTACGCGTCTCTCTCTATTTGAGCGCGCGCGTGTATATATATCTTCTTTCTTGCTCTCGTGGGTGGATCCCGCGTGCGTAGATATACCTAAAGTTTCCATTGCCTTTATCTCGCTTTATCTGTATATATATCCAGCCTCGTGCGCACACATGGCTTTCTCCCATGTGTATATATGCGAGAGGCTCTTTCTCGTTATATTATATATGTGTGTGTGTGTGCAGGACTCGCCTCGACTATATATACGCACTTTATAGTCGGAGCTTGTTTGCCATAGGTCAAGACGCACGCGCGGCCTCTCCTGCGTTGGCTATATGGATGCCTTTTTTTGTTCTTCGTCTACTATATACAAGCGCAGAGCTATATAACATAGACGTTTGACCGGAAGTGCAAGGCAAATCCTTCGCTCTTTTGCTCTCTCTCCCTCCTTTTTTTCCAGCCGATGGATGAATGATTATGCGATATGATGGATGACTTTATACACACGAGCTTCGTGTGTATATGTTCCTACGATCTACATCGCAATCCTTTCCATTCGCGTTTATGTGAACTAGCTCTCTCTAGGTGCGTTTCGCACGTACCGTAGAATTATTTTTAATTCCTCGATTTTTTTCAGAATAAACAATATATTAATTCTTCTAATAGAATTTTATCAACTTGGTTTTGCTCCGTTCGCGTCAAACTTCGAAATTTCAAAATACGAAAAAACCAGGGAAGAGCATATAGAGCTGTGTTCGCTATATTTTGAATAGTTGTGTCTTTGCACAGCGCGACAGTTTACGGCACTCGCGGCAAAATACCGCGAACCGGATAACACACCGAGAGGTCGTGCTTACCCTGCACGACGTAAACAACAAAACTAACAGCGGCTCTGTGCAATCGGCTCTTCGCCAGTTAACGCACGTATAGTTTAGTTCGCTCAATCATTGAGGGATTAGTTGTTGACGAATTGCCAAGCAAGAAATATGGAGCCGAGTGGTTTATTCAATTATGCTGTTAGGTAATTTCTCGTTTTATATGTTCGAAATCATAAAAAGAGAGCGAAACAAAATACTTGATTATATTGGAGTTATTTCAGAGTAAAAGAGTGGTTGTTTAATCGTGGCAACGATTTATTTAACTACGGCGTCAGGGTAAAAGAGGAGCCCAGCGATGAGTCGCTCACTGAAAATTACAGTGAAACAATTTACAAGACAACCGATCTTAAAAATATTCATCTCTTGCCGTTGCTTGAAGAAAATTCAGTAAGATCTAATTATCATTTGTAATTGGCGATGTAGGTTAGGTGTACTTATTACTGTGTCTAACCGTATAAAGTCCAAAGTTACAATAATCGAATTGAGGTTATGTTTAGGGCACAGTAATTAGGACTCTTACCCTACTTGTTTTAGTAAAGAAGATTCTCACTAAGCTTTAAATTTTCAACAGACCTATACTCTTCAAAAATGTCACTTGAATCACGAAAGTGAACTTGATCAAATGGAAATAGTTTATGAATCTGAAGACGTCAAACCCGACATTAATTTATTAGTTAACACAATTAAAGTAGAACCTACGGAGGAAGTGAAACAAGAAATTATTGGTGACGTTGTAGAAGAATCGAATCTAAATTTCGACGGTGAATTTGTCCAAAAGAAAAAAAGCATTCCAAATATGTTTAACAACAAACATAGACCCAAAAAACACTTGGGTGTAGTGCATAATGATCGGAAACCTTACTGTGTTCTTTGTGAAAAATTTTTTGCTCAAAAGTCTAGTCTGACAACCCATATCAATATGTTGCACAATGGTGTCACATACCTATGCCATACGTGCCAAAAGACATTCGCCAGAAAAGATTACCTCCAAAAGCACATAGACAAGGTGCACAATGGCATCATGTATGCTTGTGATAGGTGCCCCAAAATATTCTCAAGAAAGGATCATCTTCAAATCCACGTCGACGCGGTGCACAACAAAATCACTCATGCGTGTGATATTTGCGGAAAGAAATTCAGCCAGAAGCATCGACTCAAAAATCACATTATGTTGCTGCATATTGGTTTCGCTTATACATACGCGCATACATGCGATGTATGTCAAAAGACATTTACGAAAAAAAATTATCTTCGAAACCACATTGATTCCGTGCACAAAGGTGTAAGGCACGCGTGTGATATTTGTGGAAAGAAATTCGCACAAAAGTATACTCTAAAAACTCACGTAATTACCGTACATATACTATAATAGTAGTGTTACACTTGCATGCGACACGTGCGGATAAAATATATAATAATAATAATTTCATTTGTAATATTACCCTCATATTCTATCTCATATTGTTAAAACAATGTTCAAGTTTAAAATAAACTAATTTTTGAATAGAAACAAGGCGGATTTTTAATTGTAATTTTAAGAAATACCGAATCAGTTGATGCCGATTTCATTACGTCAGACACTGTTGTTTATCGTTTTGCGACTCACTCACGCTTACACTGAATCGCCTCAAAACTGTTTGCGCTATTTAGCGCATCAAATTTTTTTTTTTTTTTACATATAATCGGATTATACTCGTCGTTTCGGCAAAAAGAAGAAGAGAGAGAAAGAAAAGGAGCAGCTAAAGAAAGAAACCGCCCCACATCGATCACTGTCCCATCTCGTCGAAAATCCGATTGTCTCCTTCGGACAGACGCACTTATACATACATACAACTATCGCTGTGAGGTCTCCGAAATGCTAATTTATAATAGCCATCTCTCGGGTTGTTAAAGAGCTAAATACACCCTTAATCGCGAACCACATACATATGCAGCAGCATCCGAGAGAGGTGAGAGTTCGGAAGTCCGTTATTATGTCCGGCCGTAGATCAAGACAACGTATATACGATCGTATGCGCGTTATACGCCTACACATTTACCGGTTGCCTAATTAGCTGCGCACACGCGTACAAGTACGTACGTACACATCCATACAGTCCGAGCAAAAGCTTAATGAGATATATTATATTATACCCTACACACATTACATAATAGTTGGCTCTAAATCTCAAAATTGTTATTGTCTCTCTCTCCTCCGATAATAAGCATCCTCATACTAACTGTTATTGTTTTTGTCTTGTGTTCGCAGTATGCATCGGCACGAACGGCCGCCTGTCGGTGCCGTCGAACAAGCAGCACCACTACCGCAACCTGCGCGACCGCTACACCAACTGCACCTACGTCGACGGCAATCTCGAGATCACCTGGCTCCAGAGCCCCGAGTACGATCTCAGCTTTCTCCAGCACATACGCGAGGTCACGGGCTACGTCCTGATCTCGCACGTCGACGTGCCCCGCGTCGTATTGCCCCGCCTCCAAATCATTCGGGGTCGCACCCTCTTCCGCGTCGAGATACAGAAGCAGGAGTTCGCCCTCATAGTCATGAACAGTCAGATGTTCAATCTGGAGATGCCGGCGTTGCGCGACATCTTGAACGGCAGCGTCGGGGTCATACAGAACTACAATCTGTGCCACATCAAGACCATAAACTGGGACGAGATCATCACCGGGCCCGGTCGCAAGTACAACTACAAGTTCAACTTCACGACGCCCGAGCGATCCTGCTCGGAGTGCGACAAGAGCTGCGAGCAGGGCTGCTGGGGCGACGGCCCCGAGAACTGTCAGCGCTTCTCCAAGACCAACTGCTCGCCCCAGTGCTGGCAGGGACGCTGCTTCGGGCCCAATCCGCGCGAGTGCTGCCATCTGTTCTGCGCCGGTGGCTGCGTCGGTCCCAAACAGTCCGACTGTCTGGCCTGCAAGAACTTCTACGACGACGGCGTCTGCACCCAGGAGTGCCCGCCCATGCAGAAGTACAACCCCACGACCTACTCGTGGGAGGTGAACCCCGACGGCAAGTACGCCTACGGCGCCACCTGCGTGAGGAAGTGCCCGGAGCATCTACTCAAGGACAACGGCGCCTGCGTGCGATCCTGTCCGCCCAAGAAGAAGGCGCTCAACGGCGAGTGCGTGCCGTGCGAGGGCTCCTGTCCCAAGACCTGCCAGGGCGACCAGACCGTGCACTCGGGCAACATCGACAGCTTCAAGGACTGCACGATAATCGAGGGCTCGATCAGCATATTCGATCACACGTTCAAGGGCTACCAGCAGATATTCTCCAACAACGGCTCGTTCGGCTCGCGCTTCGAGCCCATGCACCCCGACCGCCTCGAGGTCTTCAGCACGCTCAAAGAGATCACGGGCTATCTCAATATCCAGGGCGACGACAAGAATTTCAAAAATCTCTCGTACTTCAGGAATTTGGAGGTGATAGGGGGTCGCGCGCTGACCGAGTACTTCTCCAGTTTGTACATAGTGAAGACGTCGCTGGTGTCGCTGCAGCTGAGCTCGCTGAGGAAGATCAATTCGGGCTCGGTGGCGATACTGGAGAACAAGGATCTGTGCTACGCCGGCACCATCAACTGGGACAAGATCAGAAAGTCGCCGGAGCACGAGAGCCTGCTGGCCAACAACAAGAATCAGACCGAGTGCAGTGAGTATTAATTTATATTTAACTAATAATTATTGATTCAAAGTCTTGGAGCTGTGTAACTTATTAATTCGATCTCTTACAGTCAAAGAGGGCTTGGTATGCGACGAGCAATGTTCCGAGGAAGGCTGCTGGGGTCCCGGAGCGCACCAGTGTCTGTCCTGCAAGAATTTCATGCTCAACAACAATTGCGTCAAAAACTGTAACTCCCCAGGGTAAGCATTTTTTTTTTAACTATTAACACATCCTCAAATTTCGAATAAGTAAAGAAAATTAATCGATCGTTCGTTCATTCGCAGAATCTATCAAGCCGACAGCAAGAACTGCATGCCGTGCCACGAGGAGTGCAACGGCACGTGCACGGGGCCATCGGCCGAGCACTGCGTCAGCTGCAAGCACGTGCGAGACGGCCCGTTCTGCGTCAAGGAGTGTCCCTCCTCGAAGTACAACGAGGGCGGCGTCTGCAAACCCTGCCACGAGAACTGCGTGGGTGGCTGCGAGGGCCCCGAGAACAACATCGGCCCGAACGGCTGCCACAGCTGCGACAAGGCCATCATGTCGTCCAACAGCGAGGCCCAGCTGCCCGAGGGCTGCCTGCCTAAGAAGGAGGTCTGCCCGGACGGCTACTTCCGCGAGTGGGTGAGCTCGCAGGAACAAGGCGCTCTCAAGCCACTGGCTGGCAAGGAGATCTGCCGCATGTGCCATCAGGGCTGCGCCAAGTGCACCGGCTACGGCACCCACGAGACGGTCTGCCTCGAGTGCGTCAAGTACAAGCGCGGCCATCACTGCGAGCTCGAGTGCCCGGCGGACTACTACGTCGAGTCCGGCACCCAGAACTGCCTGGCCTGTCACGCCGAGTGCCTCGGCTGCCACGGACCCGACAGCACCGACTGCACCAAGTGCCGCAACTTCAAGGTCTTCCTCGACAGCGACAGCAGCAGCAGCAACGATCTGAGCCAGGACAACAGCACCCTGTTCAACTGCACCAAGGCCTGCCCGCCCGAGTTCCCGCACAAGAACTTCCCCGTGAACGAGGGCGAGATCTACTGCTCGCAGGAGCGAGCGTTCGCCTTCGATACCGAGCTGCAACCGGCTATCCTCGGCGGCGTCGGGATCTTCGTCATCATCTTTCTGGCCTTCGCCGGCCTGATGATGTATCAGTGGCGGCTCCGTGCCAAGGCCAAGGAGAACACCGTGAAGATGACCATGGCCATGACCGGGTTGGACGACAACGAGCCGCTGAGGCCGACCGGGGTGAAACCCAATCTCGCCAAGCTGCGCATCATCAAGGAGGAGGAGATGCGCAAGGGCGGCAAGCTCGGCTTCGGCGCCTTCGGTAACGTCTACAAGGGCGTCTGGGTGCCCGAGGGCGAGAACGTCAAGATACCCGTGGCCATCAAGGTCCTACACGAGGACACGAGCGGCGCCAACACCAGCAAGGAGTTCCTCGACGAGGCCTACATCATGGCCTCGGTGGAGCATCCGAATCTGCTGCAGCTCCTGGCCGTCTGCATGACCTCGCAGATGATGCTCGTGACTCAGCTGATGCCCCTCGGCAACCTGCTCGACTTCGTGCGCACGAACAAGGACAAGATCGGCTCCAAGCCCATGCTCAACTGGTGCACGCAGATAGCTCGGGGCATGGCCTACCTCGAGGAGCGCCGCCTGGTGCATCGCGACCTGGCAGCGCGCAACGTACTGGTCCAGACGGGCAACTGCGTCAAGATCACCGACTTCGGTCTGGCCAAGCTCCTCGACATCAACGAGGAGCAGTACAAAGCCGCGGGCGGTAAGATGCCGATCAAGTGGTTAGCCCTCGAGTGCATACAGCACCGGATCTTCACCCACAAGTCCGACGTGTGGGCCTTCGGCGTGACGATCTGGGAGGTGCTTACGTACGGCGGTAGGCCCTACGAGAGCGTCTCGGCGCGCAACGTGCCCGAGCTGCTGGAGAAGGGCGAGCGACTGCCCCAGCCGGCCATCTGCACCATCGACGTCTACATGATCATGATCAAGTGCTGGATGCTGGACGCCGAGTCGAGGCCGAGCTTCAGGGAGCTCGCCGAGGAGTTCGCCAAGATGTCGCGCGACCCCGGCCGATATCTCGCGATCAAGGGCGACAAGTACATGAGGCTGCCGGCGTACACGATGCAGGACGAGAAGGAGATAATCAAAAATCTGGCCTCGTCCATGGACGGGCCCGAGGCGCTGGTCGACGCGGACGAGTACCTGCAGCCCAAGTGTCGGGCGCCGTTGCCGCCCAATCTGCTGTCCAACAGCACGTCGGCCGGCTCGGGCTCGCCACCTGCGACCCCCATCAAGACGTGCTGGCCCAACGGCGTGTCGCTCACGGGCGGCAGCACCAACACCATGATGGACTCGCCCACGCCCATGCAGAACCAGCAGAACTGGGACCGCGAGCTGCTGAGGTACGGCACGGCCGTGCTCATGCAGCAGCAGGCCCAGGCCCAGGCCCAACAGCAGCAGCTGGCGGCGGCGGTGGCTGCTGGCTCGACCAACGGCTCGATCGTCGCCGGTGTCAGCAGCGCCAACCCGAGCGTCACGAATACCCTGCAGAGGTCGCACTACGGCCGGCCGAACGGCCACTGCCACCAGGGCAGCGGCGTCAACGGCTTGTCGGGTGCGGCGGCGGGTCAGCAGGTCAACGGCGGCGGCGTCGGCTCGTCGGCCATCTCGGAGAACGGCAGCACGCGTTACTGCTCCGATCCGCTCAAGATGGTCAGAGGTGAGTGTCTCGTCGATTTTTACCCCACGTCGACGACGTCCAGTCGTCTGTGCGTCAACAACAGCGAGTACACGTTGTCGTATCATTTATCAGACTGTGACGTGACAGATGACGGCTTCGCTGCGGAAGCCGCGGTGCAGCAGCATCACCAGCAGCAGGCTTCCGTGGGCGGCGTCAAGCTGGATCTGCCGATCGACGAGGACGACTACCTCATGCCGTCGCCCGCGTTGCCCACCACCAAGACCCAGTACATGGATCTGATCAGCGAGGTCACTTCAGCCGGTAAGTCGACATTTTTTTATTTACTTTTCGATGTAGTTATCTTGGAAAATCAGAGGCTCATGAATTTTTTTTTTGTTGTTTCGCAGAATCACTAGCCAAGCGTCTGAACAACGGCTACCGCAAGTATCCGGACTTCCTCAATCTGCCGGGCAAGACGTCGCTCGACAATCCCGAGTACATAATGTCGCAGGACGAGCCGCCGTTGACGCCCCAGCCGCTGGGCATACCGACGTCGCCCAAGGACCTCGAGAAGGTCCTGGCCAACGGGGCCTTCGCAGGCATCAACGGCCAGCAGATCAAGCAACGAGGAGCCAACGAGGAGGAGTCCGACCACGAGTATTACAACGACTTCGATCGATTCGAGCGCGAGCTCCAGCCGCTCAAGCCGCTGAGAAAGAACGAGACGACCGTTTAAAGAGACTTGTTATACGAAAGAATATATTTATTATACATACGCACAAGCAAAGTGTGACCCGCCGCGCGAAGAAGGTGGCCCACACTTTGGATCTCGAATTTATCTAATTAGAATTGTATAAACGCGTTGTGTACAGAGAGAAAGAAAGGAGAGAATTAGCGCACACGGACACGAATGAAAAAAAAAAAAACGGTGCGATTATTATTAACTCGTAAGAATTGTACAGCTGTATAGAGATAAGTAAGTTGTTTCCTAATCTAATTGTTTTCTAATCGAAACTATATATTATGATGTAAGTTGTAATTTTTTCCTCCTCCCCCGATTGTATCGTTGTCGATCGAACAATAACGCGCGCGCGCCCCTTACAATGCGATACACAAACGACTCTGTGTATCTCGCGATGTAAAAGTGATGTTTGTGTGTGTCTGGTGGTGTTTGTTTGTGCTGTCTATGCGAGCGCGCGCGAGGGTGTCGACCAAACTGCTTTCCCTTAAGACGGAAATGAATTTTACGAATCTTTTGTGCTTTAAAGACAGAGAGAGATGACACTGAATCGGTTTGACGACGCCCTATATTATACGATAGCGCAATTTGAGCGATTCAAAAATTGCCGCTGGCCTATACATGTATTACGTGAAAAACGAAAAAAGAATAATTTACTGTACTTAGATCTTCCTTGAGTAAAACCGAGCGTGACTTGTTGATTGTGATTATGTAACGATATAATGCATATAACGTGTGAAAGGACGAATATGAGTAAGAGAATGTTGGGTTAAACCTTGACTCGAAGAAGCAACAAAAAAATTATAAATATATATTTATAAAAAATGTTATGAATAAAAGCCTCGATCGTGCGATCGCATCGATACGACTGTTAAAAAAATGAAATTGATTTAAAAGATATATGAAAATCGATGTGTCGCTCGTTATCCCGGCTCTACACAATGAACTTTAGTGCAAATGGTATATACTTTTTTATATAAATTCTTAATGTGCCATTTTTTACGTGGCTTGTATATATGTGTAATTTACAAATCGTAGATCGTAATATAAATTCTCATCTACTATGAACAAACTTTATAAATTGTGTATAAATTTAGATTATAGATTGAATTAAAGTCATTGTTTTTTTTTACAAAATTACGTGTAAGTAAGAGAATATATTATGATTAAATATATCTCACAAGTAGAATGACAAATAATTTTTGCGATGCTTTTTTTTTCTTCTTATTTTTCCAATTACTTTTTTTTTTTAATTATGCTAATATTTTTCGGTTAAACGAAGTCGAAATTTCGTTATAACACCGATAAACTGTGATAGAAAGATTTTATCATTGAAAGAACGAACCATTGAATTAATCAATTCGATGTACAATTTTTTTAGACGTACCGTATCGGAAATAGATCATCAATCGAAGAGCGCTTACGAATCATTGTAATCAAAACCGTCGAAACCAGGTAAACGATTGTTCAGGACCAAAAAGTAGCGCTGACAAGTCGTTTTTACGACGAAAAAGAGATAATCAAAATTTTTGATGGGCAGCATTTCTACTTAAATTTTTAAAACTGCTTCTTTTGTACGTGAGAAAATTCAATCGCACAAAGTTTAACTATATTTGTACAATGGGTGACTAACTAACATGAATTCTGCCGTTCGTTGCATTGACTATATCAACAGAACTTGAATTGTACATGAACTACGTAGACTATATGAAAACTGTTCAATAATTATACAATAGACGAAAAAGTACTTGAATCAACTAGTTTTATCAACTAGCGGAAAATTAATTTATACAGATAAGAGCGTAATTTATAAAATTTATACACAACGTAACTTTACAAGGCCTACAAAGGTGCCATTTTGTACAGAAAATTGAAGAAAAGTGTGTCAAACGAATCATTGACAATAAAGGCGTTTTTATAATCGAGTGAATTTTCAAAGCTGGCGCGTGTTGGAAAAATATTTTTTATTGTAATTTTATTAAATTGTTATGAAAGTAATATATTTATTAATCAGATTTATTATAAAATCAAATCATGACATCGAAAAAAAAATGAGCAAATTGTACATATATTATTTTTGAAGGACACCAACGCGCAAAAGAACATAACGTTAAGTCAATATTTATAATATTGTGCATATTATCGACTAAGTGTTACTAATTATTATTATTGTATTTTGGTATAAATTTTAAGATTACGTTTTATTTCTCGACCCTATACATGACTACTACTTTTTATTGTGTACATCGTGTAAGTTTGTAAAATACGCGAATGAAATATCATGCCTCCAACAACAACAAAAAAGAGCAATAACGGATCGACCAATTAATATAACTAAGGAAAATACGTATTTTTCGAATACAGGCCACCGCCGATGTGATAAAAGTTTCTTTTCTCTCTCCGACGAAAGCAAAAGCCGAGAGATTTTGTAAAATATAGAAAATCTGCAACGAAACATTTGTCACGTAGTCGGTCGAGTGGCTCAGCATATAGCTTTTATAGATCTTTATTATTGTATATCTTTATAAATATATTATTATATCAACCCAAAAGTATAGATAATAAAAAAAAACAACAAAAAGTCAACAATTCATAAATGAATGTATAGCTCTTGTGTCATTCATCCTCACACAACATAATATAACGCTATAGCATCGTGTCTGCGCGCGTGACGCTTATTAGCAACTTATATACGCTCCGAGAGATACGCGCGGAGACTTAATTCGTCGAAGAGAAGCTCGAGCTCGAAGTCATAATCGCGAAAAAAATTCAAACAAAGACGCATTCTGCTGAGTCAATAGCCGGCTCGTTTCTCTTCTCATCGATGATTGATTCGAAAATAAAAAGGTCTCGAATGGTCGCGATATTATAAGCAAGGAAACGAGAGATACGACGATTATCGGCGTAATATATTATAAAATATATATAACACACAGCAGAGCACGCGCGCTCGTGTACAAACAATCGCATAACAATTACATCGACGTTCGATAATAATAATAAAATACATCGTAGGCGTGTGTACAGTAGTAAAGAAGCGCGCACCAACCCCCGGCTCAATATTTATCAACAATATAGAAGAAAAGCAAAAAGCGTCTAGTGCGTCGTTGCCGATCATCGTTGACCGGATCGCGACCAGTCTCGTCGCTTTGCACGTACAGACGATAGGAGAAAGCTCTCGGAGACGGGCGCGCGCGTAACTTTCGCGCCACAAGCCATGGCCAGCAAGGTAGCGGGAAAGATCTGCTGGAAGAGAGTCTGCGGGACGAGATCGTTCGAGATTCCGAGGCGAAAAATCGGCACGTCGGTAGCAGCGTCCGGCGCAGCGTCGAAAACGCAATTGGAGTCCCTTGACCGCGACAAGCCATTCAGGTAAGTTAAAGCATATAGTCGAAGGTTTGAAAATCGTCTACGAACGCGCGACATCTAGCGGTTCTTTTGCGTCTTTTTTTCTGCTGTACTTTTGTAATAACATACGTCTACGCACGCCTACACGCGTATCTAACGTGGATGAAAAGGCAAAACTCCTTATCTCGTTGACGAATGGTCTGTCAGGTGCGCGTCGATCCGTAAAAACGACGATCGTCGAAGTGCGTATAAATGTTAACAATCATCGCACACAGTAGACGACGAGCGTACCGATCGCTGCTGCTCACAACAACGGCTATAGCTGCTCGCTTTTTGAATAATCGCAAGCCCAATTCTAGAACGACAATGAGTATCGAAGTTGATCCTTACCTTAGACACCTGTTCGATGCCGATCCGGCCCTCAACGTCTACAACAGCAGCATCGTGAATCTGTCGGTGGGGGCGCCGGGACCGGATCTCCTCAAGCAGTGCAACACTCTGCTGGCCACAGCGACCAGGCATCGTTTGGTAAATATAACATTAATAACGAAGCAAAGATAATGAACAACGCGATTAGGCAGTTTTAGAAATTCGAATTCGCGATTTTCCCGCAGGAAGAGGAGGAGAAAGAGGGCAAGTACTATCTCTTCCAGTACGGAATCACCTCGGGGCTGTGGGAGTGCCGTGAGGAGCTGGCCAAGTTCCTGACACGGCGATACGGCGACCCGGTGGCCCGAGAGGACCTGATACTCACGTGCGGCGCGACCCACGGCCTGCAGCTCATCCTGACGAGCGTCATGGCGCCCGACGGCGTCATCTTCGTCGACGAGGTCACCTACATGATCGCCCTCGACGCCTTCAAGCAGTTCCCCCTCAAGCGGGTCGTCTCCGTGCCGATGAAGAACGACGTGGTCGACCTGGACGAGCTCGAGAAGCTGGTGCAGGCGGAGAGGCACAAGAGCTACACGCTCAACGAGAACAAGATATTCTGGGCCATGTACTACACGGTGCCGACCTTTCACAACCCCACGGGAATGACCCTGACACCCGGTTATTACGACTTCTTTTTTGTTCGCGATTCGATTCCAAGAATTTCATTTTCATCGCGTCGATTTTTTCCCGCAGACATGTGCAAGAGGGTCGTGAAAATGGCACGGGACAACGCCTTCGCCGTGGTTTGCGACGACGTCTACAATCTTCTTCATTACAACAACGAATATCCACCGCACAGACTCTTCAATTACGACGATTCGAAGGATCCGGACTACACCGGTGGAAATATCATTTCGAACGGGTCCTTTTCGAAAATTCTGTCGCCGGCCTTGAGAGTCGGCTGGATCGAGTGCGGCCCTAGAGTTGTAAATATTTTGAAAAATTCGTGAGTAATGCTTGATTTTTGTATCGGGTGAACATCCAGAACAGTGACTTGATATTCGGATTTCAGAGGTATATTGAAGAGCGGAGGAGCCGTCAATCATTATGTGTCAGGACTAGTTGCGAGTCTTTTGCACCTTAAATTAGAAGATCGGTATTTAGATAGTCTGATAGAGACTTACAAGGTAGGATAAAATGTTGAAAACATTTTTTTTCTTCACTATACTCTTGCTTTTGCATGACCTTTGACAGGGGAGAATGAAAGCACTGTGTGACGTACTGGATGAACATTTGCCAAATTATTGTTCGTACAATCATCCTGAAGGCGGATACTTTGTGTGGATAAAATTGCCTGAAGGTAATAATATACTTGAAAAAGTGAAATAAGTATCAATGTACAAATGAGAGTTCTTTTATCTTTTTTTTCAAGACATTGATGCTCTTCCATTCATGGAGTGGTGCAAGCAGGTCTACAAAGTAATGGCAATACCTGGAGCTAGATTTTCCAATCACGGCGAATCAAAAAATTGTATAAGAATCAGTATTGCTTTTCACTCCGCTGAGACTATAGCCAAAGCTGCAACTATCATGTGTAATGCCATTACAGAATACATGAGAGATAAAAGTGTAAAGACAAATTTGAACATGTGAATCTTTAAGATGTAAAAATGTATAATTATTATGTACATAAAATAAGTTATTTTAACTATATAAACTATATCAAAGAAAAATAAAAAAAATTATGTTTGACAATAAGTGAATTCTATTGTTGCTTTGTATGTATCATATATATCTATGATATATAATCAATATGTGCAAAAGGTAATACAAATAAAAATGAATATTTGTTTAAGAAACCATATTTTAAACAGTAAAAATCAAGATTATAAATGTAAAGTGAATCTCAAAAACAACAACAATTAGTTAATTTTTACAATTTACATGAAAAATAGAAATTACTTAATCACTACCACCTGTCAGCTCATTTTGTTTGGATTCCAAAATCAAATTTGCTTCTTTCAAGTATTTATCGCATAATCCTTCAACTTGAGTTTGCATTCTTCTAATTTGATCTTGTGATATACCGTCTCTTTTACTTAATGACTTTACTGACTTGGTTCTAATATCTTTTATCTGATCTCGATATTTGACAAATATTGCCTTTGCATTTTTGGACAATGTCTCTCTGTGTTCTTTGGTAACTCTGCAAGTTCATGAAATATTTTAATAAAGAATATTCTAATTTTTGTTAATTTTTCTTCCATATACTTACTTAGGAATTGGCATAAATACAGTGGTACCGTCCTGCTGAGGATTGATATTTAAACCGCTTTTTTCCACAGCTTTAATTACATGAGGAATAGCTGTTGGAAAAGCTGCTAAATTAAGCACCAACATTTTTGGTTTTCTAGCAATTTGTGCGAGTTCTTGTAACTTATATTCTTTGCCATCAATTTTGACTGGTAAAGTGTCTATTGCTCCAGTTGTTGATCGAACAGTTAGATTTTTAACGAAATCCATTTTCATATTTTCCACACACTTACTCATTTGATCACTCAGTCCCTCAACATCGAGTACTCCTGATAATTCTCGCAGATCAAGTTTTCCTCCTTTTGGTTTTTTTTTATCTTTACCTCCACCTCGATCTTTGCCCTTTTCTAAAGTTTGAGAGCTAAATATACTTCTTAATTGTGAAGCACAATTTAAAATAATATTATTCTGTTTAATTACTGAACATTCATTTTTAAATAAAAAAGGATTCTTAGTATTATTATTTACTTCTGGGGAACTGCTTATGCAGATACAAGTATAATCTCGAGATTGGAAATTAAAGATATTCACTCTTTTATTTCTTATTAAATTAACGAATCGTCCTAATTCCTTCAAGTTCTTCATTGTGAGTGATAAATCAATGCTTATCTAAAATTCTTGGCAACTTTCAATTCAGACTGGACAGATTGTGAGGTTAGAAGGCACTATTTATCAAAAACGTTGCATTTCTGACAGTAATTACAATTTCTTTTTGTAATAATCTACACAAATTTTATTTGTTAATGCAAAAGTAACTTTTATCAACAACTAGATGACAACTTGTAGCAGCAGTAAAAACTCGTTCAAACGTGTTTGTTTTGATTTTTTTTTCCTAGCCTGCAAAACGCCGAGTTTGTTCCGCTAGGCAAGAGATGCGTCATTCGTGGAGAATTATCAGTGAAATGAATACTTGTGGCGCGTCACGTCGTGGTGTTTCGGGTCCAGTGTAAACAGTTTACAGTCTGCTCTTAGTTGCAGCGAATACCAATAAATTGAATGGGCAGAACATCTTTGTCTTTTATCTAATTGTATGTTTTAGTTTAGGCAAAAGATTATCGTAAGAAGTGATTCTTATAATTGTTTTTCATTAGTTTCATCGTTTACGTCTGAAATATAATCAGGTAGGCGAGATTGATGTTATTACTTTTAAGAAAATGAAGTTTTTCATTGCTGTCTCCTAATTTAAGATGAATTAATTCATTTTATTTTCAGCCATGAGTCTATCAATAAAACAAGCAAAGACACCAGTTTCTTTATTACAAGAAATGATGATTAAGCAAGGTTCTGTACCAAATTGGCAACTTATCCATGACGGTGGCGGTGGTCATGAAAATACATTTGTGGTTGGAGTCACATGTGACGGATTAAAAGCTCAAGGAACAGGCAGAAGTAAAAAGGATGCCAAACATAATGCTGCAAAAGCTTTGTTACAAAAAATAGCTGAACGTAATAACTTGCCACAGTTGCCTCCAAGTGTTACTGAATCACCCGTTCGCACTCCACAACCAATTGAGTTACCGGCTTCCACACAATTACCACCAGACATGCCTTTTCACAATGCAATTGGCAATTTGAAGGTAAATATTATTTTATTAAATTATTTTTCTGCACTCATTGAATCAATCTTTTTTCATACTTAAAATTTTCTATTTCCTAGGACCTGTGTACTATCAATCATTTAAAAGATCTCAAATTTGAAACTATTGATGAAGTTGGACCACCTCATGCCCGGATATTTACTGTTCAATGTACAGTATCTACTTTCCGTGAAGTTGGAATTGCCACATCAAAAAAAGAAGCCAAACATAGAGCTGCAAAAGAAATGTTGGCCAAAATTCAAGACCTTGTAGCGGATAGCTGTTTTATTAATGATAAAGAATTAACTGAACAAGAAAAAGAAAAGTTGGAAGAAAGTCTTGCAAAAGCATTAGAAAAATATCCTAAATTAACTGTTTTGAATAAAGAAAACATTCAAATGTCTCCAATAAATTGGGGTTTAAAGTTTATCAACTTTTATAAAGCATATACTGATATATTTGAAGAAAGGCAAGGTGAAGTTTTGACAACATTAAAAGTATTAAGAGATATGTTGTGCCAAAGTCAACTTGATAGTGACGTAGAAAGTCTTATAGACAATCTTACAGAACTATTCAAGTCTTTCGATTTTACTTTTGAGTCGTTTGAAATTCCATCAAATGACCCATCTGAACAAATCAGTTGTATGCGATTGTATTGTCATCCACCTGTTTATGAAATTGGTATAGGTAATACCAAAATAGAATCCCAAATAAGGTGCATCGAAAATTTTCTCGATACTTTAATTGAATTCATGGAATAGTTTTTAAAGGTCATGATGTAAAATTATATAAATTTTACATATAAATTGATTTCATTTTTTAGTCATCCTCCAAAGGAAGTGATGTAAGGAAAATTAGTATAATAATAATTGTATTAATAATGGTGATAATATGTTATATATATTTTTAAACTAATAAATAAGTATTTGTACTTAAGAGTAAACTGCATTGCATTTTTGTTTTACAAGAACTAAACATTTTTATTTGATGTCGCACAACAGAGCCACTCCTCGCAGCGTCCAGTGCCTAGGATTGTGATCGGTCTCGAAGTCTATGGAACCGACGTACTTCTGATCCGTTCTCTGCGGCTTTCTGTATATCGGACACTCGTACAGCTTGGGATCTTTTCCCGCCGTAGTGTTGATGGAGTATATGTAGATGACGGGCATCTGCTCGTACAGAACTTTGGGCTTGCTCTCCACGAGCTTGCCGCTCTTGCGATCCAACGAGGCTCCCTCCAGGAACAGGCCGTGAACGTATACACCCTCGGTCGGCTGCTCCTTGATGTCCTCCTTGTTGTACTTGGTGATGAGATTCTGCAGGACCACGGAGTCGAGGGCCCAGCCCTTGTGGGCTCTGGTCACCTCCTGGCGCATGGCCGTGAGGAAACCCTGGGGATTGAAGAAACCCGTCATCCAGAAGACGTTGGGCCGGCCATGATTGCACCACGTACGGAACTGCGCGTCCCTCTCGAGCAGCTCGGTGAACCAGAAGCCCAGGGTGGCCGACTCCCAGGATATCCTCAGCCACTTCTCCGGCAGTCGGGCGTCGTACATGGCGTCCAGCGACTCTCTCAGACCCTGACTCATGATGATGGTGCCGTCGATGGCCAGCTTGAGATTGGTCAGGGTGGTGCGCACCTCTTTGATGACCCTCGACATCCGGTCGATCTCCTGCCTCAGAAATATGTTCATCGGTAGCAGCGGGCCCATCCTGTTGAGCGCCTCCTTGACCTCGAACGCGTTGTACTCCTTGGGCAGCTTTGCCAGCATGTCTTCGGCCAGCTTGTACACCACCGTCTCTCGGGTCTCGCCGCCCTGCGAGCCGCCCTCCTTCGGCTGCACGTTGAGAATCGTGTCCAGTATACCCTTGGCCGTCTGGATCTGATAGGTGATGTCGGCGTTCGAGTGCAGACCGAAGACCTCCGGGGTGTCGGTCGCAGGCAGCCCGTTGATGTACTCGATGTAGCTGGACAGATTTCGTGTCTGCGGCACTCGGTAGCCGCGATAGAACTCGAAACCGGCCCTGAGCAGCACGTCGCAGAACCAGACGTGGGTGAAGGTCGTGAGCAGTCGCTTGTCGAAATCGTCGGTGACTCTGCCGCCGTACTGGACCTCGCCGAGCATGTAGCACACCGTCGGCCACGAGACGCCCTTCTTCGGGTCCATGTCGTCCAGATGGTTCTGTATGAATTGCACCGAGGCGGCGAAGTCGGCCTGATTGAACTCGTACGGGACGTTCCAGCCCAGCGGGCCGAACTTGCGTCTCTCCTGGACGACGGTGTGCAGGAAGGCCACGGCGTAGAGCAGCGGCGGCCACTGGGGCTGAGCGCTGTAGTCCAGGGTGTCTTGGGTGACCGACTGGTAGGTGCGCCTGAGACTCGCTCTGATGCCCTGGGGCGGCTCGTTCGTGAACTTGATGCCCATCTGCAGCAGACCGATGGGGAACTGGGCGTGCACCTCCGTGGTCATCCACAGGCGAAAGTTGTCGTCCACCTGGTCGGCGTCGATCAGCGCGTCCATGGCCTCGGTGCAGAAGGGCAGCGACAGGTGGACGTTTTGCAGGAGCACCCAGCCGCCCGCGGCCATGCAATCGTTGATCATCTTGCGCGCGTGAAACTCTTGGCCCTGACCCATCGATACGGATTTCAGTGCTGAGAAATAAAATAAAATAACGATTAATATACATGGGTAAAAAAAATTATCTGGATTTTATAAAAATATAATCATAAAAATATTAAAATTATTTAAAAATGTGGTTCGTTTTACATATTGATCTCAAATCCAAACATAGTAATGTTTTTTTTTAAATAGAATAATTGATAAATACTTTTTAATTATTGTATGAAAACAAATTCAAGTAATAAATCATTTTGAAGATCAATTAGAGAAATTTCGAACAATAAATACTTATTATCAGTAATTTATTTGCACATCTCAATAGATTTTCAAATTTTCATTAATTTTTGTAAGACATTAAAAGTATTTACTAAATGAAATTCATTTAAATAATTTTTTTTATCTAATAAAAATGTTTATTGATCGAAACTCATCTGATCGATGTTCCCAATCATTTGTTACTTGAATTTATTTTCAAATTATAATTGATTTTGAGTATTTTCATTACTATTTCATTTAAATAGAATTTTCGCAACTTTGTTAAGAGTAAATAAACGTTGTAATTGAAAAAAAAAGTAATGTTTCAATAATTACCAATTAAATCTCGTTTTTTTCTTCCGGGCTAGTTATATTACAAATGAACAAAATCGTTCCTACTCACTGGTCTGCTTCTGCTTAGCCAGCACAGTTATGAGCGGACTCGGGTCCGATCCAATCGACAGTATGCAAATCAACGGCGTCCTCGGCTCGGACTCGGCCCACGTCAAGTCCAGATCCAGAATCTTGGCCTCGCCGTACTCCTTGCCCAGCGACTCGACGATGTACTTTTTCGCCTGGGACACGGTGCGATCGGGGCTCCACGAGCGTATGAGCAGCAGCTTCCGAAAGACGTCGAGATTCCTCTGATATCCGCAGGGCAGATCCTCCTCCTCGGGCCTTTCCTTCTCGTACCAGACGCGCCACTCCTTCTCGCTGAACTCGATCTTGGTCAGTATCTCGGAGAACACCTCGAGCTTGCTGATCTCCACGAGATTCAGCCAGGTGATGTCGAGTATCCAGCGGAACGGCTTGGGCTGCACGGCGTTGAGATCCAGCGAGGCGCCGCCCTTGATGAAAGCCATGAACTCCGTGTGCGATATGAGGCCGCGATGACAGTCGATCTTCATGGCGAGCATGAGGGTGAACAGGGACTTGTGCCTCTCGTACAAACTGCGCAGAGTGAAGCTCCAGACCTCGTAGGTCAGGTGGCGCAGGATGATGTCGATCCGCTCGCCGGTCGAGCTGCTCTTCTCGGACTTGGTGATGGAGTTGTCGAATATCGTCAAGAATTGTTTGAGCGAGTTCTGATACATGACGTTGACGTTGCTCATCTCCACGATCAGGAAGTAGAGGATCGAGCCTCTCGCGGCCACGGCTCGAAACTCCTCCCGGGCGACGGTGATCTTCTTCTCGGTGAGCGCCGCGACCTTGAGCTTCTCCTTCACGGACTCGGAGGTCGACTTGGTCTCTCTCAGTACGCTGATGAGCGCCTCGTCGTCCACGAGCGAGCCCTCCGACGAGGTCAGCCTGTGCAGCAGCGTACTCTCGAGCTCCTTCATCGATCTCTGATTCGTCATGACCGACTCGAACAGCGCCACTCGCTCCGCCTCCAGATCGGCCTTCTCCATGAGTATCACTCGGCCGAGCAGTTGATCCTCCAGTCCCTGCATCGTCACCGTGAAATCGATGATGGACGTCTTGGCCGAGATCTCCGGACTGTAGGCCGGATTCGGCAGCTTGGTCGTGATGTAGAGCATGAAGCCGGGCATGACGTCGCACTCCTTGTCGCCCACCACGACCTTCTCGATCGAGCCGGACTTGATGAAGTTCTTCTCGAGGACGTTGTCGATCACCGGGTCCAGCTCCTCAGCCACGTCCTCGATCAGTAGCGGCCTGCCCAGCGACAGGCTGTCCTCCAGATGGGTGCGAAAATACTTGTGATTGAGCGAGGTGAGCTGCAGCTCGTTCTGCGCCTCCTTGTTCTTGATCCACATCTTGCCCTGATTCTGCGGATCGACCAGCAGCGGATACGACGACGACTTGGTGACTATGAGGGCGTTCTGGACCGACAGCTCGTCGTTGGGCAGTCCCTGCAGCGTCCATTCGGACACGGTCGACGTGTCGACCAGCATACTGGTGATGTTCAGCTCCTGGGTGAACGGTATGTCGCGGTAGGTGAGGACGCCCATCCAGGCCGTGGTGAGTCCGGCTCGGTAGTGCTGATTGTAGGGGCCGCAGTAGGACAGGAAGCCGGTGGCCAGCAGAACGTCGCCGACCAGCTTACCCAGCTGGACCTTGAACTCCTTGCTCATCTCGGTCCAGCGGATTTTTTCCCCACCCAGACCGTTGATCAGGGCCGTGGCGGCGGTCATCTTTCGCAGGCAAATGTTCGCGTCGTCCGTGAGTCGCTGCTTCTCCGCGACGGCGGCGTCATATTGAGCTGGAACATTTTTAGATATGAATTAATTTTTTTTTTCGGCTAAACCTACCGGTTACTCGACCACTCGAGAAAAATTACGTGACGGTGAACAATTTTTCTAAAAATACATTTTGATAGCAAAGAAGATAATCTTTTGAATGAGTATATAAATGAGTTGGAAATAATTCTAAAAAAAGTCCTTATTGTTAATTCATATTAAAAAAAGAAAGGAAATTATTAAAATTCAATTTTATGTTTTTGTGTTTTATTTTATATAATATTTTCAATATGAACATCAGCAAAAACAAAATGAAAGGTAGCTGAGCTTCATAGATGAATAAAAAATCGTGAAAACGGTCATGATAGCCAAAAACGACATTCAAATGTGTGTGAGGATCTTCTTACAAAGTGAAATGTCGATTATAGAAAAACTCCTTTGGTTACAAACGGAGCAAAATGAACTAACGCCCAAAAGAAAAACGAAGTTCACGAGAATTCACTTGACGTTGGAAAGTGGATGACCTTCGTGGACTGCCTTTTGATGGTTTTGCAAATGTTGTCTTCGTACAAATTTTTTCTCGCATTTGTCGCAAGCAAAATCTTTGAGACCTTCGTGCACTGTCCTCTGGTGCGAGAGCAAATTAAATTTATGTCCGAATTTTCGTTCGCACTTGTCGCATAGGTAATCTTTACGACCTTCGTGTACTGTCATATGATGGTAAAGCAAATGTGATTTTCGTCCAAATTGTTTCTCGCATTTATCACATGCATAGTCTTTACCATCGTGTACAATCCTTTGGTGCTTTAATATGTCATAATTATTTCCGAATTTCTTCTTGCACTTGTCGCATTCAAAATCTCTACGATCTTCGTGATGATTTAGATGATGTCTAAGTAAATGTGATTTCTGTCCGAATTTCTTTTCACACT